ACGATATTCCTTGTCAGATAGGTCTCTGCCATCCGAGATAGCCTGGCCACATTCTCTCACTCTTGAGAGAAAAGCCGTGACAGGCTCCTCGTGTCTGAGGACCAGATTCTCGAATCTGTGGGTCGTCCTTCCCTGAGACCAACACCGAGAATATCGAGCACTGAGAAGCTGGAGAAGTTCCTCAGCAGCATCCTCAGCTTTCTCGTTGATATTTCTCATGCATTGCTGAGCATAAAGGAGTTCCACTCCCTCTAGACAACGCATGATAAACAGGCAGGCATTCAGTCCAGTAAGGCGGTAGGAGACCGCAGCAGTTCTCGCACGGCTTGACCACTCTTCCAAGGTCTGCTGAAGCTTCTCAAACTTCGCTACTGACCATGGACAACCTTGTGGAAGCTGGAGTCGATAGACGGGGATGTTGGCGCTCGCCTTTCCGCTCGAACTTTGGTCGCCGGATTTGTGTTCCCAGCGCTTCAGGGAAGTTACTATCGAGCTCAATAAAGCATCATATTTTGTAGATCCATCGATAAGAGGGCTGATACTCAATTCGTTGTAGCTCTGGACGGTCTTCAAGGATATAGCTAGGGCCAACACATAACGGGATTGGCCTTCCTCTCCGTATCCAATGTCACGTAGAGCCCAAGCTATCTTCTGATAAAGCTTGTAGACGCAGTCCTCGTACTCTTCAGCATCGATACAAGTTTCACTCTTTGTGACACTGCTAAGAGTGTCCTTCGCTTTCTCCAAAGTAGTGGCTAGCCTCTTGGCAACGCGTGCTATCTCGCTGGAAATTCTCATCGGTCGTACTCCCCGATCGCTCTTATTGTAATCACATGTAATGATGAATTGTTGTGCATGTCATGCAATAGCTGAGACATTGTGAGGACGCAAGAGAGTCCAAGATGTCGGAATTGCTTACATCTGTGTTAAAACCCCTTATGATGACGACTTTGAGTGAGAGAGTACTAACATCATGGCGATCTCGGTGGGACTCTACCCCGATGACGCTACTCTCCCCTCCGTCGTCTACGTTCCGCCAAAGAACTCAAGCACTCTCTGATTGGATCCTTGAGAAGAAGCCCCAGCTCGAAAATCGGTCGCAAGTTGATCGAACATTGAGCGAAATCATAAGGACTTCCCGCGAGCTCACGACGGCCCTTAGGAGAGAGAAAGTCGAAGGACTCAAGTGTACTGCTGAGGATACAGAGCAAGATATCGAAGCTGCCATATATACCGCATATGTTAGAGTACAGTGGGTTCTTGGAGAAGTTGGGTTCGGGGATGAAGAGCGCGGGCGACCCGCCCTGGCCCTGGCCCTCGCCGTCAAGATAATTCAAGAGTACAACATGTTAGTCGATCCCCCCATACCGAGTGGTCGAGGAGTAGTCCGTGGATTGACCGAGTGCCTCATCGAGTACACCAAGGGAGATGAAGCCGCCCGAACTGGAATTCCTGCGACCGTAAGCGGGGCGAGCCAAGGCCTGGGAGTACAACATCTGCCCTTACCCTCTGGATGCCCATGGTCAGTGGCAAAAGCCGAAGATCTCGAGCTCACCTTTGAGGAGTGGAAGTCCAGGGTCCAGACGGCTGTATCGTCTTATAGACTCAGAGGACTCCAAGCTTGCTGCTATGCTATGAAGTGCCTTGAGGGCGCTGAGCTACTGTACGCTCAGCAGTGTATGACTTCG